TACCACCTTTACTTTAAAAGTAATAGTGGTTGACTTGTTGGATCTTGTCATACTTTATTGTTAAAATAGCACGGTCTAGCCAGTTTTCGGTCTGGTCATTCAAAAATAGCCAGCGTTTGTCAAGTCATTGAAAAATAGTCACTATTTTGGTGCAACAGAGACCGGTCCAGCATGATATACTGGAGTTCGGTACACCTGTGTATGAACTTCCAGCATATTATGCTGGACCGGTATACTTTGCTGTCCAGTATAATATACTGGAGTCTGGATCACCGGTGCTCCAAACTCCAATATATTATGCTGGACCGGTATATTATACTGGAACTCCAGTATATTATGTTGAAGTATTTTTTCAGATTTTGAATAGTGTTTTCGTTCAAATTTATCTTTACATGAAAAGTGGCTAAATTTTGATTACTTTTGAAACTGTAGCTATTTTTGAATGACCACTTGTAAATCTGGCTATATTTGAATTTCTCCCAAAAAAAAAGAAGAAGTCACATAGGGACTAATTTTTATAGGGAGTAATCCAAGCCCGATTTTTTTTATGAGATAAGCACGAATAACTTCTTTTCGATAAGCACTGATAGTGAGATTTGAACCTAGGACCTTTGTCTACTCTAACACCATGTTAAAGTATATTATCATCTCATTTAAAAGTATAAACAATAACCGATTATATTGTACTAATAGTGTAAAAATTCTTTAATTGTCAGTTTATTAATTTAACATAAAAATCTTTTCACTTCACATTAAGGTTTTTGTTAACATTTTTTCCTAACCAACATTACGAAATCAATGGCACAATGACTATTTCTTCTCAAGTTTTGAACAATGACAAGAACTTCACTTCACTACCAACTGCAATCACTAACAACATGGCATCATCAAACTCTTAATTTCCTTTCATAATCATACAATTTTTGGGAACGTCACAATATAACGTATGATCCCAAAAATTAAATGATCTAGAAACACCTATGTTGGTCCAACTAATTAATCTTGATCTTAAAATCAGAGGTGAGCTCTGCGGGTTTAACTGAACAATTATTTCGGATTCGAACTATGCATACACATAATTTTTAGTGTACACATATAATAAACATTAATTCCGAATGAACTCATTGACTCTGAATACTGGATTTGCCTCTGTATGGAGATGCTGGAGCAGAATAAGACCAACACCTGGGCGGCGATGATAACGACGACGACGATGACGAATAACTAGTAGGAGATGATGATGATTGAAGCTGAGTTTTTCTCAAGTTTAATTTTGGAAGGAAGGAAAGCATTTGTAAAAATTTGGCCTTTGTTTGCTTTTTTATGGCATTTTTCTTCTTCACTTGAAAAGATGGTGGAGGTGTAAGAGGAGGAATTGGGGTTTCAAGAAACTTGACTTTTGGGGTTCCTGGTTGAGTTTCCCACTTAAATGGAATAGCCAATGGTACATCACCATAATAGACTTCAAAATTGGACTTCTTCGTTGAATGAGGAATCATGGCACTTGGAATTTCGGGACGTGAATATAGATCTTGACTTAGGTAAAACTTTCCTTTGATTGGGATGTCACTTGAAAAGATATTTGGCCGGTTCTTCATATGCCTATAAAAATTTCTAAATAAGAAAAAAGTTAAAAAGAGGATGGCGATCGCTTTGAAAATGTCACGGCGCAGAAAGATAGAAAGGTAATCTATGACATCAAAGAAATATTATGGAAGTGAAAGAAGATTTGAAGATCAAGAAGAGAAGAGACTAACAAGGGTTTTAGGTGAAATTGGAGATAGAATTTTGGAGTTCAAAGAAAAGTTGTTTTGAGCAAAAATAAAGAGTGATTATATATAGTTTTGATTCCTAATTAATAAATCAAATAGCCACAGCACGACCTACCCACTGTTTTTCGTTTTATTTATTCCTCTTTTTCATTCTCATTTACTTTTCATTTTGAGCTAGAACAACAATATAAATCTCTGACACGATTAAAGAGTAAAAATAGCACGGACTAGCTAGTTTTCGGATTGGTCATTCAAAAATAGCTAGCGTTTGCAAAGTCATTAAAAAATAACCACTATTTTGCTGTAACACGGAAAGTTCTAGCATAATATACTGGAGATCGGTGCACCTGTGTATGAACTTCGAGCATATTATGCTGGAACTCCAACACGCGGAAAGTTCCAATATAATATATTGGAGCTTGGAGCACCGGTGCCCCAATCTCCAGTATATTATGCTGGACTGGTATATTATACTAGAGTATTTTTTCAGATTTTGAATATTGTTTCTGTTCAGATTTATCTTTATATAAAAAATGACTAAATTTTGATTACTTTTGAAACTGTGGCTATTTTTGAGTGACCCCTTGTAAATCTGGCTATTTTTTAATTTCTCCCGATTAAAGACTCCTATC